TATATACACATATATAAAAACAGATCATAATGATAATGATAACAATAATATAAGAATGATAACATGATCATTAATAATCATAGAAATGATTATGATACCAATAACAACATTACAGATAAATAAATAGAAAAAGAAACGAATCATAGCATTAGAACACTGAATTCCGAGAACGGGTGAAAAGAATCCTTGGCACAGGGTCACGACAGCCGAAGGTATGCCATCGCGGCGACCATCGTGGCTCTGCAAGAAGGAGACATATTGGCACCGCCTCAGGCAATTTGGACGCCGGGCAGACTCCCTGGAGCCGCGAATGTCTATTTGGCACCGCCGAAGAGCCACCTCAGTTACAGCTGCAGATAGATCGGTATTGATGGGTTGGCACCGATGGGAACTGCGTGGTGTTGGCACTGGGAATGGCGAGGGCGATCGTGATGACAGCAATGACAGTTGTGATGATAAGAACAACTAGAACAACAACGACAACAATAATAATAGCAATAATAATGATAGAGATGATGATAATGATCATAATAATGAGATATATAACAACTATGATAATATGATAATGATAATAGTGAATAAAAATAATGAAATAACAATAGTTATTAATGATGATGATAACTATGATAACTTCTTCTTAGTATCATTATTATGATCATTATCATTATAACCACTATCACTATCATTATTCATTACCATCATTACCTTATTTTATCATTATCAACATCATCATATTATTCATTATTGTTATTATTTCAATCATCATTATTGGTAACACCTACCTTGTTCATATTAACATTATCAAAGATAAGACAAACAACAAGAACGCAAAAACAGAGCCAAGAACAATAATAATAAAACAACAATAAGGAGAATGATGATGATGATGGTGATGGTGATGATGACGATGATGATGATGATGGTGGTGATGATGGTGTGATGTGGATGGTGATGATGAGATGATATGGGATGATGATAATGATGATGATGATGATGATAACAACAATAATAGTGATGATAACAATAATAATAATGATCACGATAACAATTATAGCAACAATAATAATGACATCCATGATACTAATGTTATTAACAAAGATTATTATGATGATCATCAGTATAATCTTGGTAAGCATGATAACAACAATATTGGTAACAGCAAAAAAAAAGTCACTATGACAATAAGAAAGACAAAAAACAGCAATAATAATAATGATAATTTATGATAATGATACTAATGATGATGATGAATTATAATGAAGACAACAACAACAATATAATATAATAATAATAATAATAATAATAATAATAATAATAATAATAATAATAATGAATAATATAATAATAAATAATAAACAACACAACAACAACAACAATAATAATAATAATGATAATATAATAATAAAATAATAATAATAATGATAATGATAATGATGAAATAATAATAATAATAATAATAATAATAAAGTAACAATAATAATAATAATATATAAATAATAAAATAATGATGATGATTATAACAATAATAATAATAATAATAATAATAATAATAATAATAATAATATTAATATTAATATTAATAATAATAATAATTTATTATTAATACTATAAAATAATATAATATAATAATATAATAATAAAATAATAATAATAATAATCAGTAATTGATAATAATAATAATAACGATGGTGATCAATAAATGATAATCACAGTTATAATAATAATGAAAATAATAAAATAATTATTTTAAAGTAATGATAATAATAACAACCATAATGATGATGATGATGATGATAAAATAATAATAATAATAATAATAATAATAAATAATAATAATAATAATAATATATAATAATAATAATAATAATAATAATAATAAAAATAATAACAATAATAATAATAACAATAACAAAAAAATAATAAGGATGAGAATGATAATAATCATAATAATGATAATAATGATAACGATAAAGGTAATATCAATAATGGTTATAATAATAATACCTATCATTGATTATCAATATCAATAAAAATGATAACGATAACAAATACAATCATATTGATAAGACCAGTAAGCTACTAGACATCGGCAGCAATTTTAAATAATTCGTGAACCTTACTAACCCATGAGCATAATAAATTGAAGATCTAATATAACCTTTAGTGCTCATCGCCCATCCTGACCTCTGACCTCACCTCGCGCCTGGGAACCCTTGGCCGAAGCTCAGGTACAGGAATCGGAATTGACCTCGCTTGACCAGACCCTAAGCCAAGCACCTGCCTGGCCGAGAACTTTCTGGGCCTGAGTCTACCGTCCAGGGTTCTGCTAACTTTGAGGACTGACCCTAAAGTTACCGGCCAGACCCATTGAGCCCCAACTTCTGATGACAAAGTTCGATTCGGTAGATCTCGCATTTAATCCCGGGGTGTTTCTGTCCGTTTTCTTTCTTTCTTTCTATCGTTTTTCTATTCTTGTTTTTTATCTTTTTATTTCGTGTTTTTTTTCTGAGTTCTTTGCGTAGTATTTTTTTTTTTTTACGTTTGTGAGAGTCACTCGTATCACACGGGATTTTGTTTTCTTTTTAGTTTTTTCTCTCTTTTTTATTATTAATCTCTTTGTCACTTACAGTTTATTTCTCCTCTCTTTGCAGGTTTATTAGAGTCCGGGCGCAAGGAGAGCAAAGTCCACACGGCGCCGCCCGCCCCCCGAGCGACGCAAAGGAGAAGAACAAACGTAAACACCGCGGCCCCACACTGGTGCGTGAGAGAATCGTCTGTCAGGCGCAGATGGACCAGACACGGCCTTAAACACATGGTAAAAGCCCGGCCATCCGAGGACAAACCTTACACGCGAATCCAGCTGTCGCATTATCATCAAACTTTTTTCTTTCTTTCTTTCTTACTTTTCGTATTCTCTTCTGTTTCCCTTGCAGGATGTTTGGCGGAGCGAGGGGTCGGGGATGGAAGGGGGTCGGGGGGGTCCCAGTGAGGTTCCGGGAGCTTCCAGGCGACGCGGCCTCTCCCTCTCGTGTCCAGACCGATACTGAGGCGCTCTGTTGCAGCGAATGAAGTCCCTCGTTGCCAAATTCCGGAACTCCAATAATCGTGTTTTCAACGAAATCATCGCACGCAGATGAAATAAAGGGATCATATTTTTACAAGCACACTCATTCAGACACAGGAAGACACACGACTGATAATCAAAGCATATTACAAACTCACGCACAAACACAAACAAACCTGAATGAGACAACCGAACCAAAACATTAAATTCCCCGTCCGATTCGGAATCGAATATATCATCAACAGCCATTTCGACGTCAATAAATATTTTCACAGCTGTGGACAATATTTTCCCATTCCTATAACCCCATTCTCTCACCCCATTCCCTCTCCATAATAGACAAACATAACTCACATCCTTGTCATAGCGTGGAAGTCATGAATCTCAAATGTGACTGTGTCTTTAAGATTCCTTCCTTGGGGTTCCAGTTCTCTGTCAAGGTCGGTTTGCGATGAAATTATGTCATAGTTTTACCATATGTATTTTCCTCTGGTTTGTCTCTCTTTTTTGTGTCTATCATCTATGTTGAAATTCTGAAAATCAACATGGCGGAATTAATTTACTAAGGAGATGCGTCTGTTGCGTTGCGCCACAAGTTCTGCTAATTTCATTTGGCCCTTCACTTCTCTCACCCTTCCTCTCTCTCTCTCTCTCTCTCTCTCTCTCTCTCTCTCTCTCTCTCTCTCTCTCTCTCTCTCTCTCTCTTCTCTCTCTTCCTCTCTCTCTCTCTCTCTCTCTTCTCTCTTTCTCCTCTCTCCCTCCCTCCCTTCTTCCTCTCTCTCTCTCCTCTCTCTCTCTCTCTCTTCTCTCTCTCTCTCTCTCTCTCTCTCTCCTCTCTCTCTCTCTCTCTCCTCTCTCTTTCTCTCTCTCTCTCTCTCTCTCTCTCTCTCTCCCCTGTTCTCTCTCTCTGTCTATCTCTCATCTCTCTCTCTCGTCTCTCTTCTCCCACCTCTTCCTCCTTCCGTCTTCTCCCCTCCTTGTCACCTCCACTCCTTCTCACCCGCCACTCCCCTCCTCACCTCCGCTAATCACCGCTCCCTTCTTCTCTCTCTCTCGTTCCCCCGCCTCCTCTCTCCTCATCATCCCCCCCCCAATTCCCTTCGTCTGCCCCTACCTCTTCTCTTCCTTCTCTTCTCCCTCTCCCTCTTTCGTTCCGCACTACTACCGTTCGCTCGGACTTCCTCTCCCTTCAGCGTCTCCTCTCGCACGGCACGACCACCCGGTCCTTCACCCTCCTCAATCGCTCCACCCCCCATCCTATCTCTCATCCTTCTCCAGGTCCTCCTGCTCTCCGTTGCCTCCTTTCTTTCGCTCTTGTTCCTTTCTCTCTCTCCTCAAGTTGGTCTCTCTCTCTATATATATATAATAAATATCATAATATATATATACTATATAGATATATATATATAATATATATTTCTTCTCTTCTCTCTCTCTCTGTCACCTCATCCTCTCACTTCCGTCTCATCGCTCTCTCTCATATCTCTCTCTTCGTCTCTCTCTTCTCTCGCTCTCTCTCTCTCTCTCTCGCTGTCGTTAAGCTCTCTCCTCACGTCGCGCCGCCTCTCTTCTCACCTAATCGCTCCTTCATCCTCTCTCTCCTCTGTCTGGTCTATCACTCTTTTGTCGCCGGCTCCCATCTCCTGTGGTCTGTCTGTCTGTCTGTCCCCTCTTCTCTCGACCGTCGAGCTCCATCGCATCTTCCTCGTCCTCTTCTCTCTCTCTCTCTCTCTCTCTCTCCTCCTTCAGCTCTCTCTCTCTCTTTCCTGTTACTCTTGTCTTTGGTTCTCTCTCTCTCTCGCTCTCTCTTCTGGTTCATGGTCTCTTTCTCTCGTCAGTTTGAATCCTATCTTATCTCCTTTCTCTCGTCTCTCCGCTCTCTCTATCCTCTCTCTCGGTTCTCTCCTCCTTCTTATCAATCGCGCTTCATACCTCGCTCGGCTCTCCCATTGGACTTTTCCTTCTGCCGTCCCGTCTCTCTCTCCTCGGTCCTCTTCGCCTCGATCGTCGTCCTCTGTCAACTCGTAATACTCACTCGCATATCCGTCCCATACTCCGCTACCGCTGCTTCGCTCACCCGCTCTCTCCCTCGCCTCTCTTATTGATCGTTCTCCTCTACGATTTCCTCTACTCCAACGTATCGGCATGTTCTCGCTGCCGTCGTCGTATACACTCCCCGGCGTGGCGTAACTCCCGCATAGGTTGGGTATCCTCTCGTTCCTACCCCTCCCTCCTCCTCTCCAGTAGGCCTCATCTCTCCCTTGCCCACTTCTCATCCTCTCCTCTCCCTCTCTCCTCCTCTCCTTCCCTCTCTCCCCTCTTCTCCTCCCCTCCGTCTCTTCTCCCCTCTCTCCTCCTCTCTCTCCCCTCGGGCTCACTCTCTCTCCTCTCTCGCCTCCCTCCACTTCTTTTCGCCCCTCTCTCGTTTCTCTTCCCCTCTTGCTCTCCTCTCCGCTCCTCTCTCTTCCTCTTCGTCTCTCTCTCTTCTCGTCTTTCTCTACTATCTTATCATCCACACTCTCTCTCTCTCTCTTCTTCCTTACTCTTTTATCAATGAATGAATTATTATTACTATCATTATAGTAATAATGCTGATGATAATAATTATTATTATCGTAATAATTGTTTTTATTATTATTATCATTTTAGTCATCAGCATCATTATTGTTAAAATCATCATTAATGTTATGTTTTATTACTATAGAGATTCAATTATTTTTTTATCTTGTTCGTTTTATCATTATTCCAGTGTTATAATTATCATTGGTTACTATGCGCTATTGATTATTATATTACCATTTTCCATTATTATTTCTGATTATGATAAGTATCATTTATTATCATTATTGTTATTGTAATTTTCCAGATTATAATCATTTGCAGTATTTATAATATGCAAATATTATTTACTATTTATTGTTACTATACATAGTACTAATACTAATAGTAATACTTCTACTATTATCATCATAATTATTGTCATTAATATTATAGTATTTATCATTATTATTGTTATCATTATTATTTATTATCATTATTATTAATGTAACATAATGAATAATGATAATATGATATGATATTCATTATTACTGTTATTGATTATTATTCATTATTATTATCATTATTATTATTAATTCACTTATTATTATATTATTCAATTATTATCATTAATTATTATTTATTATCATTATCATCATCATTATTGTTATCAATAACAATATCATCATAATCATCATCGTCATCATAATTATCATTACTGGTTCACATCTATTATCACTTACATTATTACCCTTACCATTATCATTATTTTGTTATGAAATCAATCTTCCTTTATGTTATGTTGTTTGTTTTATCAATTGTTGCTAATTCTTATTATTATTATTGTTACCATTTCTGATAATTCCAAACAGGTAACAAATCAATAACACCATTAACAATATCAAAAACAATAATAACGACGATAAGTGATATGATATTTCTGACAATAAAACTTCAAGATAATCCAATAAAATAATCACGCTAAAACTTATAAACACTGCAACCTAGTTCGAGAAAGACTATCAAGAATGAATGAACTTCTCTTGGGCCGAACACTAAACACAACTTCACAGATATGATTTTCTAGATGCAATCATACCTGTGAAAATAGCCCTGACGTTCTCGAATTAGTCAAGGAGAATGGGACAAGAACGAAGAGGTGGATAGAGGGGAGTGGCGAGATGAAGGGAGGGGGAGGGAGGAAGGAAGGGAAGGAGGGACAGGGAATGAGGGAGATGAGGGGGAGGGAGGGGGGAAGGATGGGGGAAGGGAGGACAGAGAGGGGAGGGAGGGAGGGAGGAAGGGAGAGGGAGACGGAGGACGAGAGAGAGCAAAGAGAGAGAAGAGAGAAAGAAGAGAGACGAGAGAGAAGAAAGAGAAGAGAGAGAGAGAGAGAGACGAGAGAGAGAGAGAGAGAGAGAGAGAGAGAGAGAGAGAGAGAGAGAGAGGAGAGAGAGAAAGACGAGAGAGAGAGAGAGAGAGAGAGAGAAGAGAGAGAGAGAGAGAGACGAGAAGAGAGAGAGAGAGAGAGAGAGAAGAGAGAGAGAGAGAGAGGAAAGAGAAAGATAATGAGAAAAGAGAGGAGGGGCGGGGAGGGCGTCCTATGTGGATGCGTGTCAGAAGGATATTTCTTGTTAAAGAAGGTTTCTAATCCCCACACTTATATATATAACAGGTAGACGAAGAGAGAAGACAGATAGACAGACAGCAGCGGAGGAGAGGAAGAGAGAAATATTCTATCACGAAAGTAAAAGGATAAACAACAAGACTCGTAAAATGAGATTAAAACAAAACAAAGGGAAAAAAAAAAGAAAGAAGTGAAATAGAGAGCGTATGAGAGGGAGAGAGAGAGAGAGAGAGAGAGAGAGAGAGAGAGAGAGAGAGAGAGAGAGAGAGAGAGAGAGAGAGAGAGAGAGACGAGAGAGAGAGAGAGAGAGAGAGAGAGAGAGAGAGAGAGAGAGAGAGAGAGAGAGAGAGAGAGAGAGAGAGAGAGAGATTTGAGACGAGAGAGAGAGAGAGAGAGAAAGAAAGAGTAAGTGCAGAGATGGAGGGGAGTGAGTGAGACGAAAACGAACGAACAGACAAAACATAAATCCGAGAGAATAAAGAACGAGAGAGAAGACAGACAGACAGACAGACAGACAAAAATCCAGAGCCACGACAGACTTCTCGTAAATGAATATTAGGATCAACAGCTCGCCTTTTTCGCCTCAATAAGAAGGCGAGGAAGTTCCCGATAAAAGTTGTTGGCCATGTTGGCTTAATCAAGAGATCAGCCATGCATTTAATTGCAGTGTGGCGAGGATTTTAATCTATGGAGTTTAATCCTTTTTTTCCTTTTATTTCGTCTTGGTTTCATGTTTATTTTATCATATGTATATATGTCCTTGATGGATGTATTTTGTTTTTGGTAAGTTCGATTTAAATATCTTATGGGGAGGGATGTCATTTTGGTTTTATTCAGCTATTTTTTGTACAGCTATTTTGCGTATGTTTAGTATGAAAAATATTTATGAGTTCTGATTCTATACCTTTACTTTTTTCTTCTTTTTACTTAAACTTTGACGTGATTTACCTCTGTTCTACATGCTCTGTCTCCATTTATTCATTTCAAATTTACCATCATAAAATACTTTATTTATTTATTTATTTTTGTTATCATTATTTGTTTTTACATATTTCAACAAAGAATGCTCATTTTACATATTCTATCATAAAATACTTTTTTTTTACATATTTCACCAAAGAATGCTCATTTTACATATTATATCATGAAATACTTATTTCACATGTTTCACCACATATTTTTCTTTACTTTCTCGGTTATTGTATATTCTTCGCTTTTCCTCTACTTTTTATATTCAATTTTTATTATCTATTATTTATCATTATTT